TCATTGCCTTTATATATATATATATATATATATATATATATATATATAAAAGGAGGAATAGGTTTTATGTAAGGAGGTATTGTAAGCAAATTAATGGTGTTCTAATGAGGTAACTAGGCGTGACAAACGAGTGGATCAAGTCGAATATGAGTGAATCGAAAATGAATTAAATAAAAATGGATAAAAATTCGACTCGATTCATATTTTAAATGAGTAAAAACGAGTTACCCAATGGATAATATGGGTATATATGGATACCCATATTATTATAGGGATCATGTTAAAAGCTTCAAAAAGAAAATCTCGTACCCACTCTTCACCCTACCACCCACAATAAAATATATACTCTACTTTTTTAATTTAATGTACCCATCCCCAACCCCAATGCCTCAATTATTATTTTTTATTTGTTTTTTTATATTAAACTTAAATTTTACTACTCCGACTCCCCCCACCATTACCCCCTACCTGCCCCTCCCCCCCATCCCCCAAAAAAATTGTTTTTCAAAAAAAAAATCAATTTTTTTTCTCCACCCATCCCTACCTTGACCACCTACACCTCAAAAAAATATTGATGTCAATTTTCTTTCTTTTATAACTGAGTCTCTTTCACCCATTTTATCCATTTAACTATCCATTTTTTAATGGGTAATATGAGTTTTACTCATCTTTTACCCATTTCAAATGAGTTGAGTACCCAACTCACTTAAGATAGGTAATTTAAATGGGTACCCATATAAATTACCCATTCTGCCATCCCTAACGGTAACCAGTACCCGTGGGACCTCCAGGAACTTATGAACCAAGCTAGCAGGAAACATATGGTACAAGGTGGACATATTAATGGATTGGTCAAGCAACGTTGATAACATACATATACATTCATCGATATACTAGTTTTGGGAACTTACATTGCACGTTGGGCCCCTACTAGTATACAAAATTCAGGAATACCTAACTCTTGTTGATAGTAAGATAGTACTTTTATTTTACCGTGTCCTACCAAGTTCGTCCCATGAGTCCACATAACTTAAGAAATTTGGCAAGAATAAATTATAAAATAGTTTTTAAAAAAACTATTTATAAGTGGAAAGTGTCATTACATGTTTATTTCAAATGCTGAAAACAAAAAAAAAATAAAATAATACTAATGTGTAATGAAGTACTATAAAAATAAGCTTTAGAAGATAGAAAGAATGCATGATGATTAAAAAGATATTCATTTGAAAATGTTATTGAAATAAATTACTTACAATTAAAGGCTAATATAATGAAGTTTAGTATTTTAAGATAAATTTTCTAATATATAATAGGAAAAGGGCCAAAAATACCCTTTAACCTATTGAAAATGGCTCAAAAATACTCTCCTTCCACCTTTTAATCTAAAAATACCCCCACCTTTGTTTTTGGTTCAAAGATACCCCTCTTTCCACCTTTTGGTCTAAAAATACTCTCAACCAAAATTTAATTTGATTGAATTCTTTTATTAATTAGTTAATTCTTTTATTTGTTCTAAAAGACAATGTTTAATTTATTCAAATTCTTAATATTAGTTCATCTCAAAAAATTTAAAATATTTAAGTCAAAATATATAAATGTAATGTAAAATAAAATAAAAAATTTATTGTGTAAAAAGTTATTTCAGTTGCCTTATCCCCCTTCCGGGTGTTGTATAAGATGATGATGAAATACGAAGTGTAGTGGACTAATATTTTTTATATAAATTTATAAAGGGAGAAATTATGTACATGAAATGTTGTGAATGAATGTGTTTAATAGTAGAAGCTAAAATGTTTAACAATTAAAGTTATTAAGAAGTGAAAATGCTAAGTTGTAATCTAACCATATGTTTGGTCTAGTTTAATTGTCATCATTAATTTAATTTTAAAAGTTATTAAACAAATTTTTAATATAAAAAAATTGGTGAAAAATATTTTCTTAATCCTACTTTGAACTAGAAACCTTTCCACTTTTAATAATATACTTAATAGTTATGGTTATAGTTTGTCACCACCAAATCACCGGGCCGTGCGAGCACCTACTCTAACACCTAGATAGGAGAACCCTTACCACACAATCTAAATTAAAACATGCGGAAATGAATGATTTACTACAAAAAATCTTTAGCACTTTAAAACTTCATAAAACACCGAACTTTAATAAAACCCTTTTTTACAAGAGACTGAAAAACTCCCCAAGGAACTAGTCTAAATAGGTATAAGAGCTACTAGAGGAGTACAATTTATACAAGTAAATAAGACACAACTTCCACAATAAAGAAGGAAAATTGAAAGTTGTCGGAGATTATCACTGTCTGCACCTATGAAACATCACTGACCCTCATCCAGGTTATGCCAAGTGACATCACAAGAGTAGTATTAGTATAAACACACGTACAAGTAGGCATCACCAGTCGACCCGAACCTACCACATTATATAAGTAGACATTCAATAGGGAACATGTAATATGAAAGTTACACCACCCCAAGTTTCTATCCACGTGCTTTCATCATCCCAAGTATAATACCCATAAACTAGTGCACTTTGAAACCAACCTCCAACCTCATTCTGCTGTCAACTCTAATATTTAAAAATGCAACCCTCTTTCCTTGTAAGGCTTTCCAAGCCTACCTGCTATATTACCCAAGGCTTCCCAAGTCTACCTGTGATGTTACCCTAAGGCTTTCCAAGCCTATTCACCCTCATATCAAATCATAACCTAACCCTTCTAACTACTACTAACTATATTAACCAACCTACTAATCTTCCTCAAGTTCTCATGACAACACCTTGGTACTTGACCCATTTTAGTAAACCATACGCAAGACCTTCACTAAACACCTTTCATTCAAATCCCCCTTATCAAATACATTCAAAAAATCAAACAATCATAACCACTCTCCTCATTTAAACTATGCACCAAACCCCGGGTCATCAGCCCGACCTAGTAACCACAAGTTAGCAAAATAGTTAACTTACAATTATAATCACAAATATAACATAGTTCAGACTCCCATTTCTCACCTTGGATTCATATGCACAACCCGCAATACTATAAATGCATGCCAATTACATACAACTACAATCATGGTACATAGACTCTCAGTCACAGTATCATGAAATAAACCAATGCATGAAACATGTCCCACAT